AGATTTAGTGTCTCACAACACTAGACCAAATGATTGTTAATAGAGCAATATAGAATTAATTATAAATTATCATTTATTTTTATTCACATCAAATCAAATTTATATAATTTATATGTTATTGTTTTAAATAATAATGATAAAAAGTAAATATATTTTTCAGATATAAAATCATATTTCTTGTATTCACAATCAGCTCATATAATTAAGTTTTCATAATATTTAAAATTTAATTATTAGATGTAGATATGTACTATTATAAAAATGATATAATATTTTTATTCAAAAAATAATACCATTTAAATATAATATTTTTTAACCTATCAAGTGACTTTAATGGTAAAAAGAAATATTATTCTTCCTAGAGGTTTTAGGTTCAAGCAATTATATTTACAAGGTGTGTATGCATTATCAATAGGTTATTTTTTTAAACAAATACTAATTTGTAATTGTCTTAGATTGTTAATATATATATATATATATATATAATATATATATATATTTCAAGTTTATATTAGATTATTAGTCATTATCATTTCGTTTTATAGAAGAAATATTGAATTTTAAACATACATACATCTTATACATAATCAAATTTTAGTATTTATGATTTTGATTGGTTATTAATTTAAAATGTTAGCATAGTTTAAAAATTGATTAATTAATTTTAATTTTAATAAAATTAATGAGAAATTATCTCAAATGTCACTAAATTTTGAGTTTGTAAAAATTTTATCATTGAACTTTAGAATATTTCAATGTAAACATTGAGCCATTAACCTACTAACATTTGGATGATGTGGTAGTTTCATATCGACATGTGTTGACGTGGAAGCTAAAAAATATTTATAAATTCATATTGATTTAGAGGTTTTCTTGGATTTGAGGGGTTTAAGGAGTTTGTTCAAAAATTCAAACAATGATAGGTATTCACAAATCCGATAATCAAAATTAGCTCCATTGGATGGTCGTAGAAGGAGATTGGAGTATTATAACATTGAATCTTTAGATAAAGTTTATCGATTTTAAGTGAGTTTCATGAAAAATCATTTGAAGGAGAAAAAAGAGAAGTGAAATAAGAATGTTTCGATATCAATCTTATTACGAATGTCTACTGATTACAGGTAACGATTGATGGATAATAACGATCGAAAAAGTTGACGACTATCTACATAGACCAAAATGATATGTAAACTAAAGTTCAATGTCTAAAACAAAAAGAAAAAAACTGTCACATCATCATATCTTTAACTATTTAATGATTTAGTGTTAAAATGAAAATGTTCATAAAATATCTCTGCATCTTAATAAAATAATTTTTTTATTATTTTAAGGTGATTATAAAGTAATAAATTATAGTGATGGTAATCTCTTGTGTTTGAATTGAGACTTCTAGGGATAATAATAGTCTCTTTAGCTACTAAAACAACTTAATTTATACTATTTTAATAAAATATTAAATATGATACATGAACAATTATTTGATATATTATTATGGTATATAATATCACCATTGAATATGGTTAGTACTATTTGATTTTTTAATTAATCTATACAGAAAAGATTGAAAGCGTAAATATGTATTAACCAAGCGATTTTGGTGGTTAAAATGTTTATTATTATTTTTTAAGATTTTGGATTCGAGCACCGCGTATGTTAAAATTATGAGCGTTCATTCTCAAAGATTTAAAAGTTTTTTAAACATATATTATTTTGTATTCACCCTAAATTTATATTAAAAAAAATCATAGGAGGATCAGCCCCACGGTCGAAGGGTAAAAAAATATCGTGGATTATAAAGAAAATGAAAATATTTGGTATAATTTATTCTAAAGATATATGTGTGTGTATTCGGTGCTACGTAGGCAGCTTAATTTCTACATGTCCTCCTCGGTCCCTTCAAACCTTATGCTACTTACCCATCAAATTTAAGAAATACAGTGAATCAAACAAATTCATGGCCCCCTTCACACACTACCTATTGATTAGATAGTACAATTTGGATGTTTCGATATTAATTTATTAAATGATAAATACAAACAACGCGATCGTACAATTAAATAGATACTTATATTTTACGTGAAAAACTCTTTAAGTAAATTATGTGCGGGTGATAAAAATTTTCACTAATGTCAAAAATATAATAATACAAGAGGAATATCATTAACAACTTAAAATCTAATCATAGTTCCTACCATATATTTATAAAGATAATTACTTGATTATAAAAAATGCTCTAACAATAAGAATCTCTATAATCCTCTATGGCAGGAAACCATGATAAGGGACGAAACTACTTGGGGGATGGGAAGGGTTGGTGCCTCTCCCAATTTTTTTGGTATAATAATATTTTAGGTCCTTTTTAATTTAAATATTAATATTAAAGTCTTTGTCCTCCTTAATTTTTAGATTCAAATATTTAATAAATTCTTATTATGTTGATATAAAATAATTTTATTTTCCCTCGACATTTAATCCTCCGTCCCTCAGCATGATAACAAATTTAGAATTCAAAACCCAACATTTACCATCATTGTTTTTCTCGTTGGAACATATTTAATTATTGTTGGGCCATGAACTTGTGTAGTAGGGCTGATATGGTCCCCCATGGAAGGCCACCAATGATACCAAGAGTACTACGGCTGTGAAAAAAAATTAAGAAACCCAAAAGGAGATGATGATGCTGAGAATTGAATGATCACAACCGTTTACATTGTACGTCCCCATTTTAGACACACAAGTTTAAACGCTTTGTCTCTTTCAAAAAAAAAAAAAGTTTAAACGCTTTGTCCTTCAAAAAAAAATTTAAACGCTTTGCTTCATTTGTGGGATTTATGACATCCATTGAGGTTTCTTGTACCATACACATGAAAAACATTAAGTGTGTGTTTAGTTCACGGAATGTAAGATTATCAGTGGGAATAAAAAATTAACAGGGAATATGATTACTGAGAATGTTGTATTTTGTGTTTGATTTGTTTAGTAGGAATGTAAGATTACCGTGTTTTGTTAAATGAATAAAAGAGTATTGGAATGTATATTTTATCAAATTGTCCTTGTTATATATTTGTTTTTTTAACAAGTTGAATTCAACTATAATATTACTATAATTAATTTATATATTTTCTTTAAAAATTTTAAATTCATAAAATTTATATAATTTTTTTTACAAAATTGAAAAGATAAATAGGTTTAATGAAATGGTAAAATTTTATTTTAACCCCTGAACTTCATATAAAATTCTAATTATGGACTTTTTTGTAAATCTAAAATAGTTTAAGGATAAATTTGTAATTTAACCTTCGTAGATATTTTTTATTCAACGACAGAATAAGGATATATTTGAGAGAGAAAATTTAAGGGCATTTTAGTCTAAAATGCCGGTAATTCAACAATATCTAAGAGAAGGGGTATTCACATTCCCGATAATATACCTCCAAAATACTACTATTGGGAATAAAAGATTACTAGGGGCTGAGAATGTTTGCCAACCAAACATGGGAATGACATTCCATTCCTCCGGTAATCCAATATGCCGCCAACCAAACGCCCCCTAAGGTTTAGTGAAGTCATGGAGGGACGAAGCTATCAAAATTATTTTTATAATTAAAAAATGAATGATAAATATCAAATTATACCTCCTAATTTTAGTTAAATTTGATTTTATCGCCCTCACTTTCTATGGTTAATTATATTTTTTCCTCCTCACTTTCTATGAGTAATTATACTTTTTCTCCTTAAGCTGGTATCTTGACTCCGTCCTTGAAGTCACGGATGTACATTGTGTAATGAAACTAGAAAAAGAAAGGCATATAGGGCTAATTTACAACAACAATATCAATACTTTAACACTACGAGATGGTATTTTTCTTTTTTCTAAATAGTCTAGGTGATTATAAGATAATATCTGTTCGGAATCTTTTTTAACTATTGACAACGCGTATACATCTAACACCCTACAAACGCAGGTACTCGAGTCCATATCTCCGAAGAAAACTACACTCTATTTTACTATTGGAATCAATTGATAAGTTCTGAGATGATATTTCTGTATAAATTAAAACAATAAATTATGATTTACACCACTTCGTTCTTTCTCGATCCATCTTTTAAAGGACTTAGGAACCCTTATTTTGTACTAGGTTTCCTTTTACTTAAGATTTTAAATCCACAAAGATAAGGTTAACTACCAGGGCCAGACTTCGGACCACACACTTCTAGAGGCCCAAAAACAAATTAAGTGGGTTCGACCTACCTGACTTGACAAAGTAACTTACGAAGGGTAAACTATCTATTTGGTCATCTCCTTATTACTTAGTTTGTATTTTGGTCATGCAACTATTATTTTTTAGATAAACTACGCATTTGTACCTAAATTATCAGTTTTGATCCGTTTTAGCATCTAAACTTCCAAATTTTTTAAATCATACCTAACATTTATTTTTTATTTGATTTTAATACCCTGCTGTTAAAAGCTTAACGCGTTTAGTACCTAAACTATCAGTTTTAGTAAACTTTTAATTTTTTTCAAAACTTAACGTTAAATTTTTAATGGGTACTAAAATGAAACAAAAATTAAACGTTAGGTATAATTTAAAAAAATTAAAAGTTTAGATACTAAAATAGATCAAAATTGATAGTTTAGGTACTAAGCTTGAAATTTATCCTATTTTTTTCAAAATCATATATAATACTATGTTTTAACTTTGTTTCAATTATCCATCGTTAAAAAATTAACAATAATGTTGACTTGATATTTTTAATTATTTTTCAATATTGATATAGTATATTACCTTATGCTAACACTCAATATTACATCAATATTGAAAATAATTAAAATATCAAATCAACATCATTGTTAATTTTTTAACAATAAATGACTAAAACAGAAACTAAGTAAAAGATGGCGGACCAAAATATGTATTTCACTCTTTACGAAATTAATGTTCTGTATCAACGGCCTAAAACTAAGTAACTAACCAAAAAAAAAAAAAAACTTTCGTGCCTCCAAGCTCTGATGTTCCCAAACCACAAATCTCCAAAAAATGAAGCTAAAAAAATTCCTCTCGATTCCAGTCTTTTCCGCGTTTTTCATGATGGGTTTCGTTTATTATATCACGGTTTTCATCTTCATCGAAGATTGGGCTGGTTTGCAGACCTCAGCTGGTTCATTAAACAACACAATCTTCACTTTCGTGGCTTCTCTCTGTCTCTTATCTTTCCTCGTTGCTGTTCTTACTGATCCAGGCTGTGTTCCCTTGTCTTATATCCCTGATGTTGAAGATACTTCTTTTGCATCAGATCAAGAACCAAAGAAAAATGTAAGATTTTCCCCCTTTTCTTTTTGAAATTATGTATCCAATCAATAGTTGTTCAGAGAAAGTTTTGAGTTTTTTTTCTAATTGAGTTTTGGTGGTATTTGGGTTTTCCTAATAGAATAGGAAGATGAGGAAATTAGAATGAATTTCTGGGTCTTATGGTAGATTTTGCTGGGTTTTTTACTGTTAGAAAATAAGGGTTTTTTTTTCTTTGTTGATTGAATCTGTATTGTCCCATAACTTTTCTGTTCCATAGAATTTTCCTAATGTTTGATGAAAGTTGATGAGAGAAGGCTATGTTTTATGTAGTACTAGAATTTGTAGTGGATCATTTTGTTGATGCAAAGATTATTGTGTCCTAGGAGGTATTGTCCCCATTAGATGTCTACATTATCTCTTTTTTGAGAAAAAAGAGCCTCGATATCGAAAGGGTGATTATTGTTGCATATCGATGTAGGATTGTGTAATGGATGATTTAGGTTTTACAATCGAAATGCTGTTGATGTATTCTCCATTTTAGAGGCCAAAGGACCATCCTTTGAGAATCCATAGGGAAAGGTTAATCTTGCTTGGTGACTATGGAGGATCATTTTCCACCTTAATGAACAAACTCATTGCGTGATCTGATTTCTGTAATGGATGATTTAGGTTCTACAATCGAAATACTGTGACAAATGTGCTGCATATAAACCCCGGAGGACTCATCATTGCCGGGTTTGCAAAAGATGCATACTAAGGATGGTAGGACATATTAAACAATTTCTATACAAGTAAATAGTTTTTCTTTGACCATAATGGTTTCTAATGCTAAATCGAACGCAGGATCATCATTGCCTGTGGATAAATAATTGTGTTGGTTATCGGAACTATAAAGCTTTCTTCGATCTTATACTTTATGCCACCATTGGTAGCATCCACTCAACAGTATGTATCATTGCTCCTTGTCTTCGTTTCTTCTTTCTTTTTTCACTTTTCGATGTTGCCTCAAGTTATAATATGAAACATGTCGTTCATAGGTAATTGTAATAAGTTGTACCCGTCAGAAGGATTGGAGTAACAGCGGAACTCCCCTCAAATTTTTTTATGTAAGTTGTCGTTACATATGTGCATCTGCAATTTATTGTAGTTTCTGTAAGCTGTTTACTAGAAGAATGATTATGTATTATGTGTTGCTGAGTGTGAGAAAAAACTATGTTATCTGGTCTCGGGAGTGAGTTTCGGATACGGATATGAGCCCGACAAGTATACGCTCATTTTTTAAAACTTTTTACATATATTTGAAGAGTCAATGTGTCCTAGACATATTTGTATGCAACGCACAGCCTGGTAACGTAGCTTTTATGTCACGCACACCATCCCTCCCCCGGGTGTTCTTTCTTCTCGCCCCTCGATTCATTTGTATGCGAGTTTATAAGCTATTTAATAAATTCTCGGAATGTGTTGTAGCTTGCTTGTGGAGTAATGACGCTTGCGCTATCAGTAACAGTCGGGACTCTCTTAGGCTGGCATATCTACCTTATAACTCACAATATGACAACCATAGAGGTACACCATCGACCGACCTTTTTGCAGTTGGTTCCACGGCTTGAATTTACCCCTCCATAATCCTCTAAACCACCTACAAACTATCCTTTTGCCAGTATTACGAAGGAATACGAGCCGCATGGTTGGCGAAGAAATCTGGGCTCGGCTATCGCCATCCATTCGATCTTAGTGTTTACAAAAACATTACCTTGGTACTCCTCCCTTCCTCCCTCTTTCTCCGTATTTTCCGACCGTCTCTTATATATCGACCTCTGAATCAGGTATTGGGTCCCAACGCACTAAAATGGTTTTGTCCGATATCGACTAGCCATCTGAAGGACGGAGTTAGCTTCCCTACTTTGCGTGATAGTTCGTAGATGTTTTCGGCTTCCAACCGAGTCATTGCAGTAAAATCACCTCATTTCGTCACATTGTTTAGAAGGAGAAAGGATGGCTTCAATAGTTAAAATGGTCAGCCATAGATGTATGCTTTTCCATTTTTGTTCTTTAACTTGAAAGAGTTTTTTTTTTTCAATTTTAATTCCATTTTTTGTAGGAATTTTATACATCAAGTTTTATCACATAATATAAGTTGAATGTAAATTTTTTGGGGGAAAACACCATATATATCATTGTTTTAATTTCCTTATTCATTTTTAGACTCTTTTTTTAATCTTTTTATTTGGATTTTTCATTTTACTTGAAATTGAAATTTGAATATTTTGTGTAATTTATTATATATAACCAAAATAAATTTATCATAATGATTTAATTATTAAGTATAAATTCATTATCTAATATAAATTAAAGTAATTAATAAAACATTTTTTAAAGATTTAATTGTTAAAAAGATAAGAAGCCAAGTTGGCAACAACATTTTTTTAATTTCCAAAAAAAAATGTAAGAGGAAGAGGACTTTACTCAAAGTACAATGAAATTCATAGATTTTAAATATTATATTAGATGAAAATTGAAACTAATTAACTAAGAAAATACAATATAATTTAAAAAATCCACATAAGATATTATTAATAATACAAAAAAAATTCAAATAAAATTTAGATAATAAAAAAATTGATTTGACTTAAAATATTTAAATCATAAATAATCATAAATTAATGTAAAAAATGTCTATATATATCACTCAGTTTAAGTCCTAACAGACAATATCTCTCTATTTCTATCCTTTTTTTTTTCTGTGGTTGATTTTCTACATATTTGTTCTGTTTATTGATTCAGATCTTCATCTCCAGGAAAGAACTCAAATCATTTTCTGTATCAGATGTTAAGAAAAAGGTTTATTTTTATGATTCTAATGTGTGTGTGTGTGTGTGTGTATATATATATATATAAATGGGTTATGATTCTGATGTTAAGACATGTTTTTCAAGATGGTCAATGGTTTCTGTTTAATTTAACCCAGAAAAATTTTCAGGGAAAAGTTTGGTTTTTAGACTACTCTTGTTCAATGCACTCGATGTTTGTTTGGTTGCCGAGAAAACCAAAGAAATCATTTTTGAAAACTTCAAATTCAATCCCCTACAAATATGGCATGCCTTTACATTGGAATATTCAATTTTTGTCCATCAAATTTACTCATTCCTACACGTTATCTTATCCAATTTATTGACATTTTTAGGTGAAAACTACTTGCCATACCAATCCATATCAAAGAGAAGAATTAATTACTTCCATTTAAGGTATGGTTGATGTCCTTATATTTTCCGATTTTAGACGCGTAATAACATCCATTACATTCGTAATCAGCAACTGCAAATGTGTTGAGATCATAAAGATTGTGCAGGAGATTGAGGGTACGTAGACGATAATGAAGAACTCGGTTTCGGATCAGAGTTTCTACATCGAAAGCGAAGATGAAGAAGAAGAAGTGGAGAAATTCAACAGACATGAAGATGATGGACATGACATTTATACTTATTTTTCTTCAGCTGAAAATCTGCAACAAAGCAAACCCAGTTCTCTGGCCACTCAATGGCCTCAAAGTTACAGGTGACACATTCGAACATAAGTAAATGGAACATCTTTATGTGAAAATTTTCAAAAAATTAAGCATATTCTTATCGAACATGTACTCGTATCTGACACTGTAAATACTAATGTCAGAGAATGATTATCCGGCACATAGAATTCGAAATGCTTATAACTTTATGTTGATTTTCCTTTCTTTTCAGGCAGTCTATTGATTTGTATAGTAATGTACCTTCTCCGACCATCGGGTTCTTGGGTACTCCTACAGTGTCGAGACTGGGGAGCTCGTTTCTATTGTCATCGTTAACCCGGAGATTTACACCAGAAATACAACACACACCGGTGAGGAAACCATTGCTACCGCCATCGGTAGATGATGAAATACAGCCGGATAAACGTAGTACGCACTCTTTGGTGACTCCAGCGCCGCCATCAAGGAAAACATCCGTGAGATTCGATGACAAAGTGTACGAGGTCGACCATGCGCATGGAATTCCCCTTGGTCGCCAGAGTACCTATGGTCAAGCAGTGATGAATGGTTAGTTTGAATTTGATTTGTTCGGTCGAATTTTACAAGAAACATTTGTTAAAAACCAGCTAAAATTCTACATTTTGTGTAGGGATCAATGTGCTATGTGGAGTTGGAATCCTTTCCACCCCATATGCAGCCAAAGAAGGAGGATGGTTAGGGCTTATAATATTATTAACATTTGCATTGCTTTCTTATTACACTGGCCTGCTTCTGCGCCAATGTCTGGATAGCTCACCCGAGCTCGAAACTTACCCGGATATCGGTCAAGCTGCATTTGGTGCTGCCGGTAGAATCACCCTTTCCGTAAGTCATAATCTCTATATTGTTCCGATTCTTCATTTTTCTCGAAATACTCTGTTTGAACCTGTATCCAATACATAACTTGACATATGCCACTGATTTTAAATTTGCTCTTGCTTCTTCTTCTGTGGGTGCAGATAATTTTGTATGTGGAGCTATATGTAAGTGCAGATAATTTTGTATTGTTACACTGTTAACATGAGAAAATAAGCATTGTACGCATGCATGCATGTGATAGATAGATAGATAGTATGTATGTATGTATTGTTACACTGATAACATGAGAAAATAAGCATTGTACGCATGCATGCATGCATGCAAGCTTGCATGCAAGCTTGCATGTGATAGATATTCTTTTGAACATTGATTCTCATCTACACCTGTGTATTGTTACACTGTTAACATGAGAAATTAAGCATTGTACACATGCATGCATGCAAGCTTGAATGTGATAGATATTCTTTTGAACATTGATTCTCATCTACACCTATGAGTTTACTCTTACAATCTTCAATGTAGGCTTCTTGTGTTGACTATATAATTCTAGAGGGTGATAACTTATCATCCTTATTCCCGAATGCGCATCTTAGTTGGGGCGGATTCGAGTTGAGCTCGCATCGTTTCTTCTGTTTGATAACGACCCTCGCTGTTCTTCCCACTGTTTGGCTTAGAGACCTCAGTGTCCTTAGTTACATCTCAGGTAATAAAACAAGCTGTTCTATTTTCGTGACGTAATTTGAGGTTGTCCAAGTGCAATCTTTGTCTGTTTTTACAGCTGGTGGAGTTGTTGCATCATTGTTGGTGGTACTTTGCTTGTTTTGGGTTGGCTTGGTAGATCAAGTTGGGTTTCACAACAAAGGGACACCATTGAATTTTGCTACTCTTCCGGTCGCTGTCGGGCTCTACGGTTTCTGCTATTCGGGACATGCCGTTTTCCCTAATATATACACTTCGATGGCAGAACAGGCTCAATTCTCTTCAGTACTCTTATCATGGTAAACTAAAGCTCATCAAATCTATTTGTGGTGTTACTCCTTTTCGGATTCTTTTTGCTGGTTCACAATCGCACTCGGAAGATTGATCGTGCAATGTGTTGCATTGTATCTAATATTGTCATCTTTGGTTCTAATTCTCCTTGCAGTTTCGGAATCTGTACTCTGTTGTATGCTGGAACTGCAATTGTGGGGTACAAAATGTTCGGGGAAGCAGCGGAATCACAGTTTACACTTAACATGCCTAAAGATCTGATCGCGTCAAAGATTGCTGTTTGGGCGACGGTGCGCTGTTCTATACTTCATTACAAATATGTCGGACATAAGTACTTTAAAAAATGAATAGTCAGAGTAACATAGTCGAATATCGATCATTACCTTTTTCAAATAGCGTTTGATGACTTCTGTATTTAGTAAGTAATATCCATATGTGAAACTAAATATATACTCAACTTTTTTATTCTTTTGCAGATTGTCAACCCATTTACCAAATATCCTTTTTCTTCATATCTATATTACTCGAACTCGAGTTTTATATCTATGTTAGTCGAACTCGAGTGTAAGTATGAGATACTGAGATATATTTAGATATATATATTATGCATGTAAGCCTTAATCAGACCAAACATATGCATTAACCTTGTCTCCAGTGGCAATGAGTCTCGAGGAATTGTTACCATCACGGTTTCGTAAGTCTCACTTCTACCCTATTGTGATCCGAACACTACTGGTGATATCGACCTTGCTCGTCGGTCTCAGTGTTCCCTTCTTCGGTAAGCACCTTTTCATCTTACCTTTCATGTTCAAAGAACGTAAACCCCTCGGAAATTCACTGAAATTTCCAGGTTATCATCGGAGGATTTTTCTTCTTTTGTTGCAGGCTTGGTATTGTCACTAATAGGGTCGTTACTCACAATGCTTGTCGTAAGTTATCGTTCTGCCATTGTTAATCATGGATGTTCCTTGGCTGAAATAAATATAGAACTTAAAGACTGATGTCCATTTTTTCTGATAATTTACTTCCATTGCAGGCCTTGATACTTCCTCCTGCTTGTTATCTAAGCATACTGAGGGGTAAAGTAAGCCGCATTCAGGTACGATGATACAAGTTTCAGACATGGTATTTATCGAACATGAATACGAAACTTTATATTGCTGATAATCTTTCCATTTTATTGCAGGCTGCAGTTTGTATTATAATTATTGCAGTGGGAGTTGTTTCATCAGTCATTGGAACATACTCGGCGCTCACCAAGATTATTGAGAATTTAAGAAATGTAGTTTAAATTTCTACATTTTTGAACTGGTTTTTATATATGAAACTTCCTACAAAAACCTTTACAATTATTTTTACATGAACATATGAATGTCGACAAAATTCAAACTAAATAGTGTAGCTTATGTAGTTCTCATGATCTTCGGCCTCCATGTTCGCCAAACCGAAAACACTTTGTCCCCGGTTATCAGATCAATGAACCTTCTTCTCAAGCGCTCTCGTTTTGATGGTTCAGAAGCATGTTTCTGAATTGAACTCTTTGTAGTGGGCTGAGGGCTTACCATATCTTCAGTTTCCATAATTTCACTTACCATCTGTAGAACTTCGCTCATTTTCGGGCGTTGTTTCGCCTGCCGAGCCAAGCATTTGTTGGCTACCATTGCGAGTTTACGAGCGGACTTGAGGGAATACTTGCCTTCAAGCCTCGGATCCAAGATCAGCACGAACCTCTTCTTATCAGATAGGTGTGGCCTCACCCATTCCAAGAGCTTTTGTTCATCCTTGGGGCGGTTACGATCCAATGGAAGCCTACCAGTTATGAGCTCATAAAGGAAAACTCCATAGCTCCATACATCACTTTTCGCCGTGAGGCGGCCAGTTTGAATGTATTCAGGAGCTGCATATCCAATGGTTCCAACAACCTGCACAAAACCAGGACAAATCGGTACCTCTATTTCCATAAAACAAACATGCTTACGAATATTCTGCAGAATTAATATCAAAGAGAATACCAAATCCAAGAGTTCAAGGCAATTTGAACCTACCGCAGTCGAAACATGGCTTAATCCATCTGAAGGCCCCAGTCTGGCTAACCCGAAATCCGAGAGCTTTGCATTCCATTGCTCATCCAAGAGTATGTTTGAAGACTTGAAATCTCTGAAAATAATCTGTAGCAACCATAAACCGAAAATTCTTTAGGCTAGAAGTAATAATGAGGTGACTTTTGGTTTCGATTACAAAATGAAGCACCCTAGTTATCAATTTCCGTAATGATATATCTACTGAGAAGTAAAACAAACCTGAAAATCCATTCCTTCGTGGAGGTACGACAAGCCTCGTGCAGCATCCTGAGCGATTTTCATTCTTGTGGCCCAAGGAAGAGTCGTATGGAACCGGCTCGACAAGTGATCCTGCACGCTCCGGTTTGGCATGTATTCATATATCAGTAGCCTCTGTATGCCTCTTTCATCATCCTCAGCGCAGTAACCCAACAATTTGACAAGATTTTGGTGTTCAACAACCCCTAAAACATTAACTTCAGTCACCCATTCTTTGTGCCCCTGTAAAAGAACATTTTGTAGGAACTAATTCTCACCGAAAAAGTAAAAAAAGGGCACCGGTACTGCTGCACTAGTACATCAAGGACTTTGAACATGGTAAAATGCTTCATGGTGTCAGCAAGCGAATACCTAAATTATATTACTTATCGGGTATCAAAGAGGGTTTTCGGGCTATGTCGTATAGAAGGATGTGCTTAAAGGAGATAACCGGGCATTCATAGAGTATATCATACAGTTCGGCTAAATGAAACTAAGCATATTTCCTTAGAATAACAGCATTATATTATCTTCATTCATGTAAACAATGATCTTAAGAAACCTATGAAGTATTGCAATTCGGTATGTAGATCGAACTATCGATTACCCCCTCCATGTAATAACTTTATCGGATCAAAAGGGGCTCCTGGGAGAAAGTTCAATAAAGCATAGATATGATGCCCAAATTGCTAATTTACTCACAAACTCGAGAACATTGTGTTAGAGAAGCAGAAAGTTCACCTGCAATCCTCTTCTGCTGAGTTGTTTAACAGCAATTTCGAGCTTCTTGGTGGAAGCTTCGGTGCTTCTGATTACACCTCGATACACACAACCGAATCCGCCTTCTCCGATCATCAAGGACCGACTGAAGTTCTTCGTTGCAGCCTTCAACTCCAAGAATGTGAACTCCCTGAGATTACTTTGTCTTTGAGACAAAGCAGCAAACGAGTTCTTCACGGTCGAAGATCCAGTGCTGCTAATATCAGAGACATTCTGAGAATTTAACTCAGACCCTGATCTCCTCATTTCAAGATCAGTCGACATCGAAACCGATTCGGAGGATCGAACCGAAATAGACTTTGTAGTTTTCGGTTCATCATTCTTCTCTTTACCAGAGAAATGAAAACACTTCATTGCCCCCTCCCCCTCAATCAAACAAACAAACAAACCTCACTGCATATCAACACAAACAAAACAACATGATCAACTCAAACAACGGCTAAACTACAAAGAATTCATCTATTGACGAAACTATCAAAACCCAGATTTTTTTGTTTCTTCAACAATGTGAAATCCATAACCATATCATGTTATAAGTCGAAGGAAATCTTTATCAAACCACCAAGAAACATTGACAAAGATGTGAACTTTCAACAACATTTTCGAGCTGTGAAAGACCAAAGCAGCATAAATTCAAACACTTTTCGTACAGAAATGAAACAATTTCAATGAACTGACCTTTTCTATTGATGTTTTTGTTTCCAACACACACACAACAAGACAGAGCTAGAATTTAGAGGCTGATCATATAAAAGAGAAACCCAGAAAGGGAAATGGAGACGAGCTCTCCATGATGTAAAACAAATAACAAGTCAACGCAATGCAAATGAATTGTAGCTCAACTACCAAGAATCCCATTTGACAGAACAAAAGGCTTTGATTGAGTAAACAACAAAAATCCAAAAAAATAATTGAGAAATTAGAGAATTAATTTGTGGGATTTGGGTGTCGTTTTCTTCGATAGAAAGGGTTTTAAAGGTGAAAAAAATCACGGAGAACAAGTCATTGGTGTATCACATCTGTCAATTTTTTGCGTAAATTACATAAATGGTCCTCAGACTATATACAATAAAATCTCTTAACTATTAAAATTTACAAAATAATCTCCCAATTATATGGCGTTATTTTGTTGAGTCCATCTACTATTAAAAATTAAAAAATAGTCACCTTTCTAGTCATTATATTCTAAACTCGTCATTTACCATTAAAAATTTAACGGTCATTTGATCTAAACGTTAACATGTTGATTGAGATATGATAGTCGTTTGAGATTATGAGATCAGATTTTATCAGATCTCAATCAACAGGTTAATATCCAGCTTAGCCTATCGTCAATTTTTAACCAAAAAACGAGTTTGGAACATATGAATAGTCGAACGATCATTTTGTAACCTTTTAATAATTGAGGAATTCAACAAAACAAAGTCTTATAGTCGATAGCATACCATCTGTGTACTTTATCCTATTTTTTTAAAAAAATATAAGTATTTAAAGGTGGTCGGCAGTTGGAAGAAACCATTGACGTAATAATGGGTTTGATTTCATTAACGTATAGATGAATTTTCAGAATTATAATATTTGAGATTAATTTTTGGATTTAGAGTTTTTTATTTTGTAAGAAAACAAGTATAAAGATGTAAATTGTAATAAAAATTTATAAAATTAATTTTTGAGAATTAGAATTTATATTGATATCAGAAAATAATTATAGTCTATTTTCATCTTCTTTAAAATTTTATATTTTTTTAAAAAGAATAAAGAAAGAACGAAAAAAATGAGGTAGGAAAGAAGATAAATAAATGTCATGTATCAAATTTTCATTAAGTGATAGAATTCTTAACGGATATAACAGACTTATTTTCACATGATTTTGAAATGTAATATTATACACGTGCTTTAACTAAAATTTTGAAAATAAACACGTACTTATTTTACAATCAGACTAAAATCTTATAGAAATTCTTAAAGAAATTATATAATTAGTTGATATGCATGCATTGATGACCATGTCATGTTGTACCCTCTTGTCTTATTGCCTTCAATTTTGATTTGGACAACACATCCATGGAAGTCACTTTTTAGTTGGTATTTTAAAACATGTATTTTTTTTTTTACTTTTGGCACATTTTGATTCGTCTCTATCCGTTGACAGTCGTTTGATCGTTTTTTTTTGTTTAACTTTTTTAAGGTTGTATTTGACTTCACTTCAACTGATCAATATGACGTTTATTTATTATCCTGTTGATCTGTCCTATTTTGGATCCTCGAACGAATTTAGATACGTGGCTTATGTTCGGAGATAGTATTCTCATGACGCTCAACTCTTATATACGATTTATGATGGTCTTTCAGTAGTTTGAACCCCTGTTGTGGTTCGTTTGTTGATGCAGTTATATATATTCGCATCTTTATTTTGTTCGAGTTTTTTTAGAAGTATTTTTAACATTTTATTTGAATGATTATTATATGATCTTAAGTTAAGTGATTAGTTTTGTGTTAATGATTATTAGAAATGTCATAGTTATGCGTGAAGTTTGTAGTTGTAATTTTAGATTTTTCTTATTTAATAAAACTTTTTAGCGTCTCTCCTTGACAGTTTTTCTGTACTTTTTGTGCATGGTTCGGCCAAAAGAGCTTCCTGTTAGGTGGATGCTTCACAATGGCTACCCGGATCAGCAGCAAACTGCTGCTCGGATTGCTACACCCTCATGCTGGATTAGAGGAAAGATGTTTTGCTGGAGAGTTATGGCAAGATGTGTCGAGATACGCCACAATCTCCTAAAGTTTAAGGACTTATAGGCGGAGAACTCCGAGTGACTATACTCTGGCAATACAGATACTGTGTAACCGGTATAGGCTATGCATTTGCATTCTTCTTTCAACCTGGTAAGCAATGTTTAAACCATATTGAGTGCGAAAATAGTGTCTTTTACCGGTTTATAGTGTTGTTTACCTTTCCGTCGATGTGTACTGTTTCTTGTAGTAGTCGGTTCTTGTTCCGGTTGTTTCTACTCTCATAGCCATTAGAACACAAGGTAATGAAGTTCTGAAAAAGATGTCTAATTTGTGCTATTCCAAGTGGGCTTTGGGAGAATCCAATGCCGAAAGGTATGTCCTATTGACCCTTTCCTACAGATAGGTTTCCATAATAAATGAATGAATTCGAGGTTTCTCCAGATACGGCCATGGATCATTCGGAATCCGTGGTTCGGATTTAACGAGAAAACCTCTATTCATGTTGTTTCAAGCTCAGGGGAACTTATCATGGGAGCTTAGAAAGCCTGAATGAGACCATAGGTTCCTCGAGGCACAACCATAGTACATGTATCCTGCTAGATGTTGCTTTCGTTTCAAGTTTCTTCGAATTTCTTTGCTATGAAAATCTCATTTATTGAAAGAATCATGTTACGTCTCAGGTACTATGGAGTGTGGTTAATTACTCGTTGTGGATCTCTTCTGAAAAGTGGTTACAGTCTAGATGAATGGACTCTCTGTATAGTCATCCTCATTCTCACTGGCGTAATCAGCCGTTCAATCGTATATTTTGGTATGATTACAATTCAGAAGTGAAAAATATGTGTCCGCTCTTACATTTGATCGCATTCGATTTCCGTCCTAACGGCTCGTGGCAGCATCAACATTCAGCAACACAAACATCATCGGAGCGATGATCGCAGCCTATCGGAAAATGGTGCTGTATCTTTTCTGGTACATCTCGGATTAATTAGGCTATAGTTATACTACCTTATCTCCCATTACATTTGTACATCAGGAAATGAGGTTTCTTTGGTTAGTTATATTTGATAATCCATTTCGATGCATATGATTACCGTAAAGATACCATTTCTTATTCTATATAATCTTTTTTCTTCGTGTTGTTGAATATTTTATTCGTGCACATTTTCTCTTTATTTTCTCAATTTATAGTGAGTTATGAAAAAAATTCAAACACGTTAAATCTTTTTACGATTTAATCATAAAATTTCATAAAGAATTCAATAGATTAAAACCCTAAAATTTATGTTAAAAAGGAAAAACTCTAAAATAATTTTTTAAAAAAAATATAAGAAACCTCAAACGCACCACAATTCGTATAAAACTCTTCTTAAAACTTAGAAACATATTTATAATTGTAAAATATGCTCGAAAGTCTAGAACAAATCTACATCTTTTCTCTCAAATGCTTTCTTCATCAAACATATCATGCCACGAGCTTTTCGGACAGGATAAAAACAGAATTCGAACCACAATCTCGTAATACCTTGTGTTGACCCGCCAACCCGCCCGTTGCAGTGACCCGTACCCGAAAAGGGCAAATGATTGATGAATCGGGTCACATCTTGATTACAGCAATATTCTATCCAAGTGTTCAATTTTGCTACTACGAAAGAAAAACAACTGTTGAGAAGAGGCAGAAAAAAGGAAAGCAGAGAGGGAAAGAAAGAATGGCGAAAACGGCTGCTTGGAATGCTTCGTTCACATCATATTCTTTGTCTTTCAACAAGGTTTTGTCTCCTACAAATCCCATGGCAACACTTGGATTTTCGGCTTCTTCGTCAGCTTTTCCTTCACTTTCCACCAAACCAAAACGACCCAACAACAATTTTCAAGGTGCTTCCTTTACTTTGTTTTACTCCTTTTCGTGACTGTATCTTTCTTGGGTATCACTTTGTTTCATGCTGTAATCTAGAGAATTTTGTTCAATTGAGTAATGGTGGGTTTTGCAATTGTGGCGAAAAGTGATGGTTTATTGGAGCTGAACTGAGATTTTTCATTATTAATGGAGTAATAATAGGTTATGTAATTGTGATAATTGAAGTATTTGTTATGTCATGATGCTTTGTGTTTTATATGGAAGTGCGATTTTATGTTAGGGGCGATAACGGATCATCAAATATATATATATATAAAGAACAAATATAAATTACATGAGAATTTGAAATTTTCAGGGCGACTGGAGTTCCCCTCAGTTTTGTGATAATGAGTAGTTCATGCCATTGTTGTACTTTCCTTAAAAAAAACATATTCGAGCTGGATGTTTCATTTGTATATTTGGTTGGCAGTGAGATCGGTGGCTGCTTCTGCTGAAGATGTTGCGAGATTCGATGAAATGGTTTCCGGGACGGAACGGAAGTACTACATGCTAGGCGGCAAGGGAGGTGTAGGAAAGACGAGCTGCGCCGCTTCATTAGCTGTAAAATTCGCAAACAATGGCCATCCCACTCTGGTTGTCTCAACAGATCCAGCTCATTCGTTGTCCGATTCTTTCGCGCAGGTTTTGATCCACTCCCTCATTTTTTCCAACACTTATCTCCCTGCATTTATCTTTTCTTTGGCTCAATCTATGAGTTCATTTTTTATCTAGGATTTGACTGGAGGGATGCTAGTACCAGTTGAAGGACCTGACTTTCCCTTGTTTGCTCTTGAGGTATATGGAATAAGCCCCTAATCTGGTTTCCTTAGTTTTTCTTGAACGATTCATTTCTGGTTGCTGGACATCGTTGTTAAGATCATGTATTCTGTTATAGATAACTATCTTCTAGTTATGGTTTTCATGATTACTTTTTCCGCATACTCGGTAAGTTAAATTCATATCTTTAACACAGATAAACCCGGAAAAGACTAGGGAAGAATTTCGAGATGCAGCAAAGAACAATGGTGGAACTGGGGTCAAAGATTTTATGGATGGAATGGGCCTCGGGATGCTCGCAGAACAGGTGAAGCTTTATTTCTATGTTTGAACATAGTAACTTAAGATACTAATGTAGTACTTTGCTCAAATTTGCACCAAGTAATGCCATGGAAGGTCGCTCAATTGTTGCATTTTGGCCACTATTTTCTTGTTATAAGCAAAGTTTCTTCCATATGAACCCCAAAACTTTTATTCGGTTGGAGCTGCATTCTTTGCATGCTTAATGCCTCTCTCAATTGCATTCTTTATGCAAGACGGCATATGTTTATGCATACAGTTACTCACAAAACTGCAGTAAAATGGCAAGTTTAAGATGCTAAACCATGAAGAAATCCGAAAATCTTGCCACATGAATTTCCCATTGTATTCGAGGAGTTCTTTTGCATTTTCGTAACTCTAAAACCATGATTTCTGCTTCTGGTGCTTCTTTTTACTTATGTAGTTAGGAGAGTTGAAATTGGGAGAACTACTGGACACGCCACCTCCCGGTTTGGACGAAGCGATAGCAATTTCAAAGGTATGTTATGTGCTCTGCTTATTTTTGTGTTTTAACGCCACTTACATACCATTGAGCTCTATACCGACTGTTGAAGCTCTTTGCTAGGTGATGCAATTTCTTGAATCACCACAGTACAGTATGTTTACTCGAATAGTTTTTGACACTGCACCAACGGTGAGTTAGGGTATCTTCTTTCTATTCTGCTGCACATAATGTTTGAAGTCGTCCTAATAAACTCTAATTGATGAGAGTTCTTTTCAGGGACATACGTTGCGACTTTTGTCTTTGCCAGACTTCTTGGATGCATCTATAGGCAAGATATTGAAGGTTGAAATGCCAACTTGAATTATAAAGACGTGTAGATGATTCATTCCCCCTTCGTAATTTTAATTTTTCTGCCCCTTTTTCAAGACATGTTATAGATATCATAGCTAAGGATGAACCATGAAGTGACAAAATGAGTGATTTGTGCAACATTTTTTCATTCACCTGGTTCTAGTGTTCCATTCATATTTGTTGATTTCGTTACTGGAAATGTGCTTGAATCGAATATCGAAAACCTGGAGGGAAAATGTCGTAAACATCTGTGTGAATAGCTGCATTAGTCAAATCAAAAGTTTGGGAGTCCGGAACTGTTGCTGTATCCATTTGATAGTATAATCTTTTTTTGCTATGATTTCTCACTGCCATTCGCTTGTACAGCTTAGACAGAAGATAGCTTCGGCCACCTCGGCGATTAAATCTGCTTTCGGACAAGGAGAAACCCCTCAAAACGCTGTAAGCCTGATATAGATGAGAATTGGCATCATCATCTTCTTAGTCGTCATCTTATTATTATTGTTATTGTGTTATTTGCTTAGGCTGACAAGTTGGAGCGACTAAGGGAGAGGATGGTGAAAGTGAGAGACCTTTTCCGTGACACGGATTCTACCGAGTTTGTCATCGTCACAATCCCCACGGTAATGCCCTTTAGAATTATATTCCAGTGGTCAATTTCAGTATTGAGCCAGTTTAGCATTGTTTACATGGATTCTTCGGCTATTGTTTATTCCTTCCAACAGATTGCTTGCATTACGCTTTCTTTTCCTAGGTAATGGCAATCAGCGAGTCGTCTAGGTTGCATGCCTCCTTGAAGAAGGAGAACGTTCCGGTGCGGAGACTAATCGTTAATCAGATTCTTCCTCCATCTGCTTCCGACTGCAAGTTTTGTGCAGTGAAACGCAAGGTATTAAGCGGTTTACTTTCATAGAAAGATTATAAGCTCTCAAATATATCGGGGGGATGAATGGTGGTAGAATAAAGTTACTCTTTGTTGATTGAATATTCCAGGATCAGATGCGCGCTATCGATATGATCCGTAACGATCCCGAGCTATCGAGTTTGAAGTTAATCCAATCACCCCTGGTTGACATGGAGATTAGAGGTGTTCCAGCACTTAAATTTATGGGGGACATAATATGGAAATAAGCGCTTAAATTGTCATTTTACTTTAACATAATTTTTATTATTATATAAAATTTTAAAATTCAATAGATAAAAATAAATGTTGAATTATCTTTCATATTAATTTTGAATTGCACACTCGTTAAACAACTATACTTATATATCAGCACAAATTAAACAACTTATAAAACAGTTTGAAGTCTGAGTTTGTTGTAGTTTTCAAACTTTGAAGAAAAATAAAATAACCTTTTCTTTAGCAAATGGGCAAAGGAGCACCATTCCAGTCTTTCAAGCAATCCAACAATGGTTCAATCAACTTCCCTTCACACATTGCTGAGAAAACCTTGTCATATTCTTCTCCCGGTGAAATCGACTTCTCCCCCGTCAACAAATTAGTCCCCAGAACTCCCCTCACAAACTTGTACAACGGGTACGACCTGCATTCCTCGATCTTGTTCCGGATAGCCGGGTTCCCGTTTTCGAATTCGGTCCTAGCTTTCTCGACTTCTTTGGGCAGATTTGTTTTCAGCTCTTCTTCGAATGCACTGATCTTTTGGAAGATCGAAGTGGTTGAGTCATGTTCTCGCCATTCATCAGTGCATGGTCTACTAGTACTTGTCTCAGCTTTTGAATTAATGGGTAACTTGGACTGCGCGATCAATGACTTGCAGAAGGTCCTTTTCGCAGAATCTCGACGGGTGAAGTTCTCCATTGGATCCCATTGTTAGGACTCTTTTAGCCACTTGGCTAACTGTGTTCTTCACGGTGTTCTTCAAATTCTCTTCCAAATGCCTCAAGTCGATGGCTTGGCAGAGGGCGACCAAGAAAGTCGAAGACATGAGCTTCAATATGTCGACAGCTTCGGCTGTCTTGCTAGCTGAGATTAAGCCTAAAGAGTTCACATATTGGTTATGTTGTTTGGCACTCTACACATGGTTGGTAACAAGGTTACCGAGGAACTGAAGCTCAGAACAGTACGAAGCCATCGAGATTTCAGCTCCCTTGAAACCGTAGTCCAGGCTTGGGTTCCGCCCTCCTGACAGGTTCAAAGGTAACCCATTGTTTTAGTAATCATTAACTAGCTCAGAGAATTGAGCAAACAAGAGTTTGCCAATCGCAGCAATGGCTAAACTGTTGTTGTCCATCGATACACCAATCGGGGTACCTTGGAAATTCCCTCCATGTAAGGCCTTGTCTCTCGAGACGTCAATCAAGGGATTGTCGTTGACCGAATTGATCTCTCGTTCGATCATTTTGGTCGCGAACCTGATCGTTTCAATCTGAGGGCAAAGCCATTGAGGCGACGTTCAAAGAGCGTATCGGTCTTGTTTCGGCTTCTGAAGAGGGAAAACAAGTACCGACTTGGGGAGTTCCTCTTTGAAAAGGTTTTGAAATGTGAGAAGTCGCCACTAATCATTTAAGGTGCGATTGAGACACCATGAAAATCTTTATGTTTAATCTCATCATTTGGACAATGATGAGAATAATTTCATTTGGACAATGAGAATAATATTTAAATTTTATTGAAATAAATAAGCAATTCAATCCTTCATGTTTATAATTGAATTCTGACATATTATTAAAAATTCACATAAAATAAGTATCAAGGTTTAATCTCATCATTAGGTTTTGAAAAATATGTCAAATTAAACATTGTCTTCTGGATTTTGAATTTAAAAATTCATTAATTGTTTTTATAGTTTTGAAATGAAATAATTTGATCCCTCTTAATGTTTAATCTTAGGTGAAGTATCTGAATGTTTTTTCTATATTCATGCATTATACGTAGATGAAAATAATCTCTAAATTCTGTTGAAATTAGATTCACGGGATTAAATAAATAATTTAATCTTACACGTCTTTATTGAGTTTTGATCTATTTTTAAAATGTCATATTAATTATTTTTAGGCTTAATTTAAAAAAATACAAGTGTTTAAAGTTCAAACTATACTATATACTTATTTCAAGTGTTTAAAGTATTTTTTGCTCAATGTGGCATCTAATGTTTTCAATGTCACTATTTTAAATATTTGATCCGTCGGAGCTGTTAAAAAACCATTATCTGACCAATGTTATGTTTATATATATATACATATATATTTAATTTTTAAAAAATTTAAAATTATAATTTGAAAAAAAAATCTAAATTTTATTTTAAAACCCCTAAAACACCTAATTCCATTCCCTTTGGAAGCTGCCTTCAAACACTAATGACCAATAATCACCCTTACCATTACTGTAATCTCCTAAATTTCTAAACTTAAGTCTCGTTCAGGCGATCTCGGTGATAAAGAAATTGTTGTTATTTCTTGATGTGCAAGATTTGATCACCATGAATACCAAATGTGTAAGCATTTAATGTCAAATAGTTAAGAGTTATCCTTGTAATTACCTCATATTAATAATATATTTTTTAAATCTAACCCATTTTTTAGGGGATAATCTAACTTTTAACCAATAATCAACGACTTGCAGAATGTCCTTTTCGCAGAATCTCGACGGGTGAAGTTCTCCATTGGATCCCATTGTTAGGACTCTTTTAGCCGCTTGGCTAACTGTGTTCTTCACGGTGTTCTTCAAATTCTCTTCCAAATGCCTCAAGTCGATGGCTTGGCAGAGGGCGACCAAGAAAGTCGAAGACATGAGCTTCAATATGTCGACAGCTTCGGCTGTCTTTCTAGCTGAGATTAAGCCTAAAGAGTTCACATATTGGTTATGTTGTTTGGCACTCTACACATGGTTGGTAACAAGGTTACCGAGGAACTGAAGCTCAGAACAGTACGAAGCCATCGAGATTTCAGCTCCCTTGAAACCGTAGTCCAGGCTTGGGTTCCGCCCTCCTGACAGGTTCAAAGGTAACCCATTGTTGTAGTAATCATTAACTAGCTCAGAGAATTGAGCAAACAAGAGTTTGCCAATCGCAGCAATGGCTAAACTGTTGTTGTCCATCGATACACCAATCGGGGTACCTTGGAAATTCCCTCCATGTAAGGCCTTGTCTCTCGAGACGTCAATCAAGGGATTGTCGTTGACCGAATTGATCTCTCGTTCGATCATTTTGGTCGCGAACCTGATCGTTTCAATCTGAGGGCAAAGCCATTGAGGCGACGTTCAAAGAGCGTATCGGTCTTGTTTCGGCTTCTGAAGAGGGTCCATTTCATGCAACTTTTGTGCTGCTTTAATGTAAGAGCTCCCATCCAAAATATGTTCCATGATTGCAGCTGCTTCAATTTGTCCCGGATGATGCTTCATTTTATGAGTCACATGATCTGTAAACTCAGGTTTCCCTTGCATAACCTCAGCAAAAACGGCTGACAAAACTTCAGACAGAACAGCTAACATGTTAGCCTCGTAAAGGACCAAGGAAGCTAACCCGGATCCGACCGCGGTTCTGTTAACCATAGCCAGACCCTCTTTCGGTTGCAACTCAAAGAATCCACCATCGATCCCAGCTTTGTTAAAGGCCTCAGTAGGGCTCAATGTCTCACCATTAGGTCCCAAAGCTCTAGACTTAGGCCTGCCGGTTAAAAGGCCAGCGATGTAGGAAAGTGGAACGAGGTCACCGGATGCTGTGATTGAGCCCGAGTGGCACACATGGTGTGATGTTGACGTTAAGGAGCTTAGTGATGGTTTCAAGGATCTCGAACCGAATGCCGGAATAGCCTTGCAGCAGTGTGTTGATCCGGACAAGCATGGTGGCTCTCGTCGCAGTGTGGGGCAAAGTGTGGCATGACTCGGTCCCTTGGCCGAAAACTCCAGCATTCAAGAACCTGGTCGCACCAAAATCATGTTAGCCACCTTTGTGTACAAGATGAAATTAAATGTACATGATGAAGTCTAGTTGAAAAAACAAAAACTCTAACTAAAATTAGATATAAAATAAAATCGAATTATTCCAAACCGAAATTTTAATTAAAGTAATAGACTCTAAATGGTCCTAAACATAAGTGATTGATCAATTTATTAAATGAAAATAAATACACTAAGCTGTCGTTTTAATACTGTGTACTGTTTTTAATGATTGGAGACCATGTAAGTTGTAATGAAATTTTAATATACACAATAATGTAAAAAATTAAAAAAAATTAGGGCAGGTGAGAAAAACAAAGGGTTAAGTGCAGGGTCTTTCACATAATTAATGAATAAAATACCACCACCAAACATGGCGGCAAGAGGGTTGTGCTATTAATGTTGGCCAATTTAATGCATCTTTAGGGCTTAGTTACCTAAGTTAACGGATTAAACAATCTAACGAAATTTAATTAACATATTTATATAGTAAAAGAACAACACGACTCCAGTATTAATTTCTGACATATCAAAATTATTATTAAAAATGATTCAATGCAGGATGGATCGTGTGATATTGAGGTACTGTCAACATCGTTTTTCGTCCGGACGAGAGAAACAAGTACCGACTTGGGAGTTCCTCTTTGAAAAGGTTTTGAAATGTGAGAAGTCGCCACTAATCATTTAAGGTGCGATTGAGACACCATGAAAATCTTTATGTTTAATCTCATCATTTGGACAATGATGAGAATAATTTCATTTGGACAATGAGAATAATATTTAAATTTTATTGAAATAAATAAGCAATTCAATCCTTCATGTTTATAATTGAATTCTGACATATTATTAAAAATTCACATAAAATCAGGTTTTAATCTCATCAAGGTTTTGAAAAATATGTCAAATTAAACATTGTCTTCTGGATTTTGAATTTAAAAATTCATTAATTGTTTTTATAGTTTTGAAATGAAATAATTTGATCCCTCTTAATGTTTAATCTTAGGTGAAGTATCTGAATGTTTTTTCTATATTCATGCATTATACGTAGATGAAAATAATCTCTAAATTCTGTTGAAATTAGATTCACGGGATTAAATAAATAATTTAATCTTACACGTCTTTATTGAGTTTTGATCTATTTTTAAAATGTCATATTAATTATTTTTAGGCTTAATTTAAAAAAATACAAGTGTTTAAAGTTCAAACTATACTATATACTTATTTCAAGTGTTTAAA